GTTAAGAGCAATATAACACTTATAATCTTAATTTTGTTCTGCAGTGCAGAGATTAGTAAAACCTGACTTGTAAACAGTTTATACGATCCTGTACAATACTGATTCAAGACTACAAAGTAACTGTTTGACAGAGGTATTTCTCTATAACCCAAAGCTCAGACTGAAATCTTGGTAAGATTTGGTGCCCTGCAATAGTTTGTGCAAAGCAGCTTTAGTTTTCACTCTGAATTTTCTTGAATTTTTTTTTCTTAAAAAGATCTGTAAAGTACATACTTGTTGAAAAATAAAAGATAAGAAATACTGCAGTTTCCTGATGCATCTGAAAGATAAAGAACAACAGTCATCTTGTATTTAGCTTCATTGAATGTTGTCATCTTCACATCAATTGTGAAAATGATGTGATAGATCAGAAATGTAGGAACTTCTGTATAGGAGTTATTTGTAACTTTTTAGTTGGAGAGGAGCAATAGGAGAGGTGCTTCTTGTCTCCTTTCATATTTTCCAGTTTTTCTTGTAAATAATGACACTGGTTAGGATTGATTTTTCCATTTAATTTTTATGAGGACATTGTATGTGCTTCCACTGTCTTCTCTTTTCAAATTTCTGTCCTCCGTTCATATGAATCAGTTTTCATCTTCTTGATGAACTTGTTTGATGCTTGATGACTTGATGCTTCTCTTTGATGCAAAAAAACCCAACCCAAGAACCTCCAAAGCAAACAAACCAGTAACATCTAATTGGTTTCATTATTACCATTTCTCCTAGCCTTTCTACCTTAAAATCTAAAGGAAATAAATTAATATGTTTATTCCTACCCTTGTACTTCATGTTCTATCTCACTTTTATTTTTTCCGCATTACAGACTCGAGGACAGTCTGTTCAGATGAGTTATAAGAGATTGTTTCAGTTGCGCTTTAATTCATCTCTAGGGTCCTCTGCGAAGTTCTTTGCTGGAAAAGCCCCCACCACCCCAAACCCCATTTCATTCCGTAACGGTGGCGTTTCCTCTTATATTCCAGCCTGGCTCTAGGGAATAAGAGAATAGGAATAGGAATAATAGTTCAGCATCTGGAGAGTGCATGTTGCCTTGTGTGGTTTGGGGTTTTTATTTTGGTGGGTTTTTTTTTTAAGTTGTTAGGTTCTAATATGGTAGGTAATTTTTTAAAGATATTTTAAGTTTAATTGAAAAAGTATCACTACATCTACTAAAAGCTAAAAGTGTCGAACTATGACAGTCAATCTGAGATTGTTCTTTGTATTTTTGGAAACCCCTTATAACCAGATTCTTTGGAGATTCTTCACATATAAAGTAATGACATCTACAGAATTCTTTTAATTAAAATTTCATTCTCAGGTAACTAGTTTAAACCATCCAAAGAAAAAAAAGATTTTTTTTTTTTCTTCATGGTGTCAAGTTTGGACAATGAAATAGTATGCCTCTGTATATATTTAGACATTGTTAGAACAAAAGGATATAATATTGGAATAATGTAGATAAATGAGTAAAGTTATCTAAGTCGATGTTTAATTTTTCTCTATGAAAATAATTTTCTGAGGTAAAGCAAGGACGTTCTTGCTGGGGAGTACTCTTTCAGGAGGGAGAACAGGAGAATTGCTGATGGGCGCAGGGCAGCAGCATTGGTCTGAACCCTGACGTAAACCATCAGGCGCTTGGGAAGTCTCCCGTGTCTTTATATCTGCGGCATTTCTTTTGCTGCCATTACTAAAAAATACTCAGTAGTAAGGTTAGTGCATTTATCGCGTGGGTTTGTGCCCAAGGTGCCTTTTCAGTTGCAGCAGTCTGTTTAATATTTTAAGTAGGACTTTGTTGGCCTTGATCCTCAAGTTCGTTTGGGAAAGGAAAGAACTTCACCATTTATTTTAATATGTGAAAAAAAGGAGTAGCAAGAGAAAGCCTGTCAGAAGTGGCAGTGGACGTGTTGGGTCTGCGAGCGCACAGTAGGATGCAAAAAGGTGGTGAAGGCTTAATCCACTCGTTCACTCATAATCCCTTTAAAAGAAAAATGTACGTGTTTTGGGACCATTACGTTTGTAAAAAGATAGTATTTCTTTACAAACATAAGCAACTCTCTAACTTTTACAACGCTTGGGAAGCCGACGCCAGAGCCGAGGGCAGCGCCAGGT